AGCAACCTCCTCGCGGTGAGACTCGGGCAATCGGTATCATCCTCGATTCAGAAAACATTGCGAATTGCAATGAGTTCTGAGTCGAGGATGATACCGAGCTAATAGCTGCAAATTTTATATTCTTTTTGATACTGATATTTTCAAATCATAAATGATGTTACTGTGCTGCGTACATTGATAATTAATTTATATGAATTTAATTATGTTCCTTATACTTTTTCTACGTTTTTTCACAACATCGTTGCTTCATCGGTGCAAATGTAAAATAATGGTGGGTGCCGCGAACACTGTGACGAGAGTCAGGTGGTGCAGCTCTTGTGTTGGAGCAATTTTTTGAGTATTTATGCCAACTGATATTTGGCATCCACGAATGGTACTTGCTCCTAGTTTCTTTTATATATTTGTTTATTGAAAATTCATTGTTTATTAATAAAATTGTCTCCCGTGGAAAGATGAGCAATTGTTTCGATGGAAAGAGCAATTCTTTTGTAGATGACACAGCACGTTTCATGCATTATTTCAGAATTTCCGTATTTTTAAAAGTTCCCAGCCTTTCATAAAAGTCACAAAACGTTTCAAAAAGTTTTCTGTATATTTCTCGGGAAAAAAGAGCAATTATTTTAGCTATGTTTCATTGTAGTGGTTGATATGGTGAACCAGCTTCACACGGGTAGTTGCAGCGCCATATGTAACTTGATCAGATCCTAAGTGATCTAAAGGATCTATGTGATATGAACTGTTTTTATAAAGCTTAAAAATCATTATATATATTATTTTTATTTAGCATCTTCAGGATGAGATTGAAAGATATTTATATTACACATGAAATGCAAAACATTTGTTTACAACAAATAATAATTTAACAGTTTATAACCTCAAAGTGTGATAACCTTTCTTAAATCTTTTCACCTTACCGGTAAAATGATTACTCCTTTTTTAAATGTTAACCGTACATTTACAACCGCTGTAAGATGTAAGCGGCGGGTTGTAGTAACAGGAATGGGAATATTGTGTCCACTAGGAGTAGGTACAGAAAATTCCTGGAATAATCTTCTTAATTGTAAGTCTGGTGTTACCAAACTAACTGATCCAGATTATGATAAACTACCTTGTAAAATTGGTAAGATTCGCATAAAACATTAATATTTTTAACTTATTTAATTAATTCTATTGTTTATGTATATTAAAAACATGTAATTATTTTATGATAGCGGCATTAGTACCAAAAGGAAATGCTGCTAATGAGTTAGACATACAGTCACATTTCCCAAGTGGTGAATTACGTAAAATGTGTCCTGCTACAGCTTATGCTTTAATAGCTACAGAAATGGCATTAGAAGATGCAAAATGGAAACCAAACGATGAAATAGACAAGCAAGACACAGGTGTAGCAGTTGGAATGGGAATGATAGATTTGGTTGATGCATACAAAACATATGAAGCACTACAGAAAGGATACAACAAAGTCAGTCCTTACTTTATACCCAGGATTCTGACTAATATGGCTGCAGGACAAATTAGTATTAAATATGGTTTTCGTGGACCAAATCATTCTGCGTCAACAGCATGTGCAACTGGAGCACATGCAATTGGTATAGATTTTAAATAAATGAATATTATATTAAACATACACATAATTAATACACTTCATATTTAGGTGATGCATTTCGTTTTATCCGTGGAGGACAAACATCTGTAATGGTGTGTGGTGGAACAGAAGCATGTATAAGTCCTCTCTCTGTAGCTGCTTTTTGTAGACTTAGAGCATTAAGTACTTCAAGAAATGATTGTCCACATGAAGCGTCACGTCCATTTGATAAAGATAGAGATGGATTTGTTATGGGAGAAGGCAGTGCTATATTAGTATTGGAAGAATTAAATCATGCACTTTCAAGGAATGCTAAAATTTATGCAGAAGTGTTAGGATATGGTTTGTCTGGTGATGCAGCACATTTAACTGCACCCAGTGAAGATGGTACTGGTGCGATATTAGCTATGGACAGAGCAGTAAAAGATGCTGGTATAGCTCCCAGAGAAATTACTTTCATCAACGCTCATGCAACTTCAACTCCCTTGGGTGATACTATTGAATTAAAAGCTATAGAATCATTTATGGGGCAACATAGTGAAAATGTAACTGTCACCAGTACAAAAGGGGCTCATGGTCATTTATTAGGTGCAGCAGGAAATTTAGAAGCAGCTTTCACTATTCTAGCCATCAAACACGGTGTGATCCCACCAACATTAAATTTACATAATTTAGATAAAGAAACGTGCTTGAATTTTGCCCAAAATGCTACAAAAGATTGGAAGTCAGTATCAAGACGTGTAGCTCTAAAAAATGCTTTTGGCTTTGGAGGGACGAATGCATGTTTATGCTTTGCAGATTACGAAAAATGAAAAATTATTAAAAGAAAATAAGGTCAAAAAATTAAATCAAATCATGAAAAGAAGCATAATTACACGCAGCATAATATGAACTAGTCATTCCTTCATATACATTAATTAATACATACATTGTATCTACAAAAAAACGTCAAATGTAGATGTATAATTCTGTCTATTCACATC